ACAGCAGGTAGGGCCAGGAATGCCTCTACCAAAGCGAGGCAGCAGTCTTATGGCAAGAGAAAATGGTAATAACTATGGGCAGCGGAGCAAACGCGAAAACGGACGTGGCGAAGGCGGCAGTCAAGGCCGATCCGGCAAATCTAGTAAGCAATGACCCTCAGTCTTAGGTTCTGGTGTACACTCTGTACTAACACTATTGTTACAGAGCCGGATCCCGCCAAAGTGCGGACGTGGACGGACCGATCGAAGTCTTTCAGCGTCGACGCACAGTTCCTCGGACTCAAGGACGGCAAGATCAATCTGCATAAGATGAATGGCGTCAAGATTGCAGTTCCTGTGGCAAAAATGTCAGTGGAGGACCTCGAATACGTCGAACGTGCTACGGGCATTTCACTGGACGAAGACAAGCCATTGTCGAATGTCAAGAAAGCCAGGGCCTCACAAGCCAGAAACTCGCCGCCTGCAGGAATCGGCGCCTCAGTTGGACAATCGCAGAAGCCCGAGTACGATTGGTTCCAGTTCTTCCTCACTTGCGATGTTGCCGTAGGCTTGTGCGAGCGATATGCACAGGCCTTCGCCAAGGACTCGATGGATGAAAGTGTACTTCCAGACGTTGACGCCTCGGTGCTTCGTAATCTGGGTCTTCGCGAAGGAGATATACTAAAAGTTATGCGTACACTGGACCAGAAGTTTGGCCGAGTGAAGAACGGCGCTGACAAGGCAAATGGAGAAGGCGACGGGGCTTCTGGAGGTCTCTTCTCTGGTCCTGGCGGGGCTCTCCGGAACAACACCAGAAAAGGCAGACCGGCACCCGCAGTGCAAACGAGTGATGTCGTGGACCCCAAGGCATTCACTGCAAAGGGGTCCAGCCCGAGCGAAGACACCGACTCCAAGTCGCCTGCCTCTGCTTCAACAGCGACGGCCAAGACGATTAGTGGTTTTGATGATGATGCATGGGATGTGAAGCCCGCAAAGCAACCTCAAGAGCCCCCTCGCCCTGCCGCAGTTCCTACTCCGGCTTCAACTCAACCACCGGAACAACAGACACCGCCCCCTCAAGTGCCTGCTCTCACTGGCTCCATGCAGGAATTGTCACTGCTGTCGAAGCCTCTGGAGCCGCAACGGACAGCCCAGCCGCCGGCGCCAAGCCCGGTCGTTGTTCAACCACCGGCACCGGTGCAGGCGCCTCAACCCACTGGAGCTACGCCGTCATTCTTTGATACCATCAGGCCGAGTTCTACAGGCCTGCCGACATCCCAGCAAGCTACACAGCGGCAAAGGCCAGCCCCGCCTCCGTCTATGGCGAACACTGGCTCGCTGATGCTGCCACCGCCGTCGAGACCATTGTCAGCACCTCAGACTGCTCAGCAGAGCGCCTTCGCGCCACCGCCTCTGATGCCTCAAATGACTGGCGTTTCCCACCAAACTTTCCAGACTCAGGTGGCACCGCCAGGGCAGAGCATGAATGACCTGAATCAAGCACGTTTGCAGCAGCAGTATACCATGCAACAGCAGCAACAGCAACAACCACAAATGCCACAGCAGCAGATGAATGCCTATCCCGTACCTCAGCAGCAACCAGTCCCGGGGGTGATGGGCTTCAACCCTGGCATGCAGCAGACTGGTGGACAGTTTATGCAGTCGATGCAGCAGCCAATGATGACAGGCGCGCCTTCTCAAAGCCCTTTCGCGGATCCTCAAAGGCAAAGCCAGTTCTCCCCAATGCAGGCGCAACCTACCGGCTTTCCTGGTCAGTTCGGACAGCTCCAGGGTTTCAATGCGCAACCCACCGGAAGCATCAACTCATTCTTGCCCCCTGCCATGGAGCCGCAAAGAACCGGCATGCCTGGCTTCCAACCGCAGCAAACTGGCATGAGAGGATTCAACAATATGGGCAGCGCCGGGCTTCAAGCACCGGTGCAGCCTTTGCAGCCTCAGAAGACAGGTCCTCCTCCGCCGGTTCGCTTCGGAGTTACAGGCGACGCAAAGAAGTTGATGCCGCAGGCTACAGGCCGGCGGGCCAATCTCTCACAAGCAAGTCAGTTTACACATTCTCATCTACAGGGTTCCTGCAGGATTTTGCTAACTGGAATATCTAGCTCCCAACAACCCCTTCGGTTTCTAATTGCATATCCATCTCCGTTCTTGATGGACTCGTCTTCAGGATTGGAGCGAGCGAATCAACTGGCCGCATTTCCCCCTTTCTAAACACACGCTGCATAGCATAGGTGCCATGTGTGTTTACCACCGTCTTACCAGTGTACGTGCATAGATGTACTTAATACTACTTCTTTGACCTTGCTTTCGGCATCAATGTGAAGCTCGTGATGATTCAAGCCGTCGCTCTAGTAAGTTTGGCTTTGAAGAGCATGGCAAAGTCAAGCAGGAGATGGGAGGCATGTAGGCAGTGCTGAAGGATGAGACAGAAAAAGGCTGTGTCTTTCAAGCTGGTGTGTCTGAACAGCGCAAGTTAAACGAAATACTGATCTATAGATTATGTAAAACAATAAGCAGTAAGTCACCTGCCACCCACATGCAAAGATTGGGCAGCATCCTACCGTATATTTGTACACTTCCTGGTTCCGCCCAGGGCTGTTATCATTCAGCTTCCTCACACAAAACGCTGTCAAAGTTGGGAAGCACTCTTCGACACACGACGACATGCAAATGGCCCGCCCCTTCCCCTAGAATCGCTCTATGCCTTGCGCCGACGGGCTTGAGTTGCGGGTGATGCTGCTGTGGCCTTGGCAGTAGAGGGCTCGATCGTAGCTTGCTTGTCTGTTGACTTCGCCGGCTGGAATCTCTTCCGAACCGCGCGAATCATCATGATGAACCAGTAGAAGTTCAAGCTGTTGAGAGTCATATTGCTCATCAGGTACGTCACGGCTAGCCAAGTTGGCACCGTTGATGTCGCCGTCGCAAATCTCATAACACCAGTCGGAGCGAGCACCGCGCCTGTTTCCGGAGAAATCTCTTTGGACAGGACGGGATGTGCATTGATTGCAGCGTAGATGTCCGAAAAGACCTTGACAGACTGGTATGTTCCGTATACGAGGCGGCAGGAGAAGAACGTGAATAAGAGCATGAGGCCGTTGTAGAGTTGCGCGCGAGACCCAGTCATTCCCAGCTTGTCAAAGAACCAGTGGATGTTGAGGAAGGGCGTGGATAGCTCCCATAGGATGAAGATGCAACCATAGTAGTTGAGAAAGGGTCGCTGATTGATTGACAGAGGTCAGCGAGAGAGACATGACTATAGAGCACTTCGTCCGAGGCAGACTTACGAATCCAAGAGAGAAGACAAACAGGGCGCTGACAGCATGAGCCAAAGTGCCGAGTCCAAAGACATCCATGTTGAGACTCGTGACGACCAAATCCCACAGGAAGTAGCCAGCGGCAAGGCCCTGGATCATACCGGCAGCACCAGTGTATCCCCACATGCGGGCTTGCCAGTCCATCGTGCTACGCTCCTCATCAACCAACATGACCCAGAGGGCCAAGCCATTGATGAGAAGGCTCTGGACAAGAGAGACGACATGGGCGTCCCAGTTTATGCGTCTCTTACGGGGTAGATCGAGGTATTTGCGGCCCACTATCAATCGCGACAGTAACGGAGACACGGGGTAGTAAATGACCGAGTAGAGAAGGGCTGAGGCGAGAACTTCGTGGATGTGGATCGGCAGTGTCGGCAGCGAGAAGTAGTCAGCAAAGGGCTGAGTCGCCTTGACGAGCCATGGCAGTGGCTCGAGAAAGAAAGGATCTTTCATTCTTTGTGTTGACGCCTTGATTCGAGTTCAGCTATCTGCTTCTGCTGTGGAGGGTCTTGAAAGCTGCTTCGGTTCGGGAGTGACAGGAGACTGTGGTATACTGGGGAGACGGACGAGAGTGGGCTGCGTGGCTTGATTGCGGCGCTGGACGTTTGGGATGTCTTCCTTTTCAAGGTATTCTTCGACAGGAAGATTCTGTCACCGGATCGATTTGTCAGTCTATCAAATGCTTAAGGTGAACGAGACAAGATAAACAAACGTGAGCAATGAGTGAGTGGTTCAAGGTCTCGTGTGGCTATGAGGCAGGCGAGGTAAAGCAGGGGTCGGCGCGCGGGGAGCAGACGGATTGTTGGGGAAGCTAAGCTTGATGGAGGAGGACCCTTGAAGACTTGTAGCACCTGGCCACCCGCCAGCTGCGTCGTGACTTTAAGAGGTGCCCTGAGTTGAGCACTGGGCACAGAGGTGGGGGCGGCCGTGAGCACAGGTTCACAGACAAGAAGTGTTTCTCAGGCAGTTGTTTTCGAGGCCGTTTCCGCCTGCGCCCTAACTTTGTCTTTTTATTAGCTACCTTGCGCGTCAGCTGCACTATGGTTAGGGGTCGTGGGATGCTATGGCCAGAACTAGCTGTCCGTCTCATGATGGCATCACACGCCTAGGTAGCGCAGTGTAGTTGATCGAGGCGGTGCTATGAAGTGAACCGTAGTAAAGGAAATCGGCGGGGGACTGGCCCCAGTTCCAACCCTTTATTGCTTGGGTACGGGATCCGTACATACTGCAATATGAATACTGAAATAATCAGTAATCAGCGCCCAGGAGGTTCAAACATTCCTGCGCACGCGGCCATCCGTGCTGGTGCACTTGTGTCCGATCTTGAATGCTACCTACCCAAGCGATTTCTCCAATAGCATGGTGCCTAGACTGTGGGGAGGCCAGGTGAGACCAACAGCATACCTAGCTGGACTCCTCGCTTTAAATGGTTTTCTGCTTAAATTCATCGGCATAGCTTTCGGTAACAGGGTAGGTACTCAAGCTATGGTACCCTACACTACCTTAGTCAGGTGGATGCCTTTCGGTGTGCACCTACCAAGCTACCTTATCTTGAGGTAGCCTGCTGGTGGTGCCACCACTTGCTCCTGCCCCAAAGTGACAGAAAACCCCTTGTTCTATCCAATGACCTCTACCTGCTGCCCGAGGTAGTTATCAACAGCAACTTTCCAATGTGAACAAGCCGCCAATATGGCTGATGTTCTCCTTGATTTACTCGATGCTCGGCAGTCTACGAGCCTCGATACCGACGCCAATGCTCTGTTCAACCCGACAACTAGGTCAACCAAGCTCGCATACCTGTCCCACCTCGCTGATCAGAGTCCGGAAGCACTAGCCTCGACTGAGCCTCAATCCCTGGCCCAGACATCACATTCACTTCTCCTCTCGCTCCAAGGGGTCTCAAAGCGCTCTCACAAATCCATCATCGACTCGGCTTCAAACCACACTGGCCTGACCCGCGCATTGCCCACTCTTGTTGCAGACACGGCAGACCTGCGCAATGCTATTCCCAAGCTCGAATCAGAGGCCCTGCGCTTTTCCACCATCTACAGTAAATCCAGGGACAACGAGGACTTGGCCGAAAGGAAACGCGCCTTACTGCTACTGCGCAATGTTGAACGTCTCGTCGACGTGCTGGAACTTCCTACTCTCCTCTCTTCCGCCATCAATACTGTTCCTGCTAATTACGCGTCCGCTCTCGATCTCAATGCCCACATTCGGAGACTTCATGGCTTGTATTCATCTTCGCCGCTGGTCGACCTCGTTTCCCAACAAGCTGACGAGGCCATCGTGAAGATGACGGCCGATCTCATCGCTGCGCTCAAGTCCCCTGGACTCAAGCTGGCCGCATCACTGCGAACGATCAGCTGGCTCAGAAGAGTGCTTCCGGACATGTCTTCAATGAGCTCCACGAGCCGCGGTTCTCAGGAACACACCCTCTCACTACTTTTCCTCTGTTGCCGCGTAGCCACCTTGGACGCTACCTTGGGAGCTTTACAACCCCTTCGTGAGCTAGCTGATGACGAGAGGCAGAGGCAACAGAGCGCCAATCAACAGTCCTGGTCAGGCGGGCAGCAGACAGAAAAGTATCTCAAACGCTATGTCGAGATCTTCCGTGAGCAGAGCTTCAGCGTTGTCTCCATGTTCAAGAGCATATTTCCCAGCACTGGATATCAGACCGGAACTACTTACGACGACGAGGATCCTTTTAGACCCATGCCATCAACGCTATCGACATTCCCACTTCATCTTGTGGAGATGCTTCTCGAAACCTTGACAATATATCTTCCGGTTGTGAAAGACCAAGCAGCAAGGGATAGTATCCTCACTCAAGTTTTGTACTGTTCAGGGAGTTTGGGCAGGCTCGGAGGTGATTTTGGGATGCTCTTGGCAACCTTGGGGGACGAACACGAAGTAACGAAACAGTCTGAATGGGTTGACATAGTCAAGAGGCACCGATTACTTTCTGGACGCCTTGAATCGGTTATCGGCGACTTCAAGGCGACAGGGGCCAAAGAGGCGTAAGTCCCGAGTTGTTGCTAGTCGTGGTAACGTGCTCGGGGCACGTTCAAAGGAGGATGACTACAAAGGCGGAAGGCAGGGTCGAAGGCAAGGTGGAAGGCGAGTCCACAAAGCGGAAAATCATCTCCACCTCATGAAAAGGAGGTTCGACAGCATGTTAGTCATCGTAAGCAGTTGGCATTATGTTTCTCGCTGCGCTCGAACAGCACCAAACCGGCAGACGAGAGCATTATGCTCTCGAGTAGCTCACCGGATACAACCAGAGGTTCATGTTTCTTCAACGTTGTGTGAGCAAACGTCGAGAATCGGGTCAGGAACGCCGGGCCTGCCGGAGGCTACCTGACCGGAAAGACCCGGTCGGACCCATAGGATTCATATGTATATAACCGTCATTACACCGATTATTGCTCCCTGACTTTCTGCTAAGCGTTGCCCGATACGGCTAGCGAGTCAGAAGCACCGACCTGCCTTGACGACCTTGCCTTGCCTCAACTTAGCTACATCATGTGCTTATGTAGATATCTAGCTACCCTGCCAGCCGTTCTGAAAAGTCATCACAACTTGTAATCATTCTTCCCTTCTCATTCTGCCTTGAAGTCCATCGCATCTGCTTAGGCAACCTGTATATTTAAGATAAGAACATCTTCGGTTATTGACGCAATGGCATTTGCTTGTAACACTCATTTCCACACATAAAACAAACTCGCCGCCGCACCACCCGATATTGCACCGCAGTTCGCCCAGTATCATCTCCCCGTCTAAAAGATACGACACCAGCTCTCTCAGAAGTCCCCATGTCTCAACAGACGACTCCGGGCCGCACAAAATCATGTAAGAAAAGGACAGGCACACTTATTCACCTGCCACTGTCTGGTCATACGCATGACTCCCTGCGAGCTGCCACTTTGAAATTCTTCTCTAAACTCACCTGTGATCGAGGCTGCGCTGACCTGTCCCTCTCCTCTCACAGCTCGACATTTCGTTGCTGGACTAGGTTCCGGCATTGCATCGGCAGTGCTGCTGCAACCGCTTGACCTACTCAAGACTCGTGTTCAACAATCTGGCCACCGATCACTGACGTCGTATCTCAGGGAGGTTGCCGCTGCTCCCAACAAGATCCAGACGCTTTGGCGCGGCACAATCCCGTCAGCCCTCAGGACCGGCTTCGGTTCGGCCCTCTACTTCACATCCCTCAACTCCATCCGCCAGCATGTGGCCCAGTCGCGCTTATTGAACCAAGCCGCCGGCAACAGGGCAGCACACTCGTCCTCACTACCGACGCTAACCCCATCGGCCAATCTGGTCGCCGGCGCCGTCGCCAGGACGTTTGCCGGATTTGTCCTCATGCCGTTGACCGTCATCAAGGTTCGATATGAATCCAATTTGTATTCCTACAAATCCCTTCTCGGCGCGTCTTCGGACATATACAGGACGAATGGTCCGCGAGGATTCTTTGCTGGCTTCGGTGCTACCGCCGTCCGTGATGCACCTTACGCGGGCATGTATGTATTGTTCTACGAGCTGCTCAAGAAGCAGCTTAGCAGTCTGTCTACTCGAAAAGACAGCCCCAATCCGGATCGCCCCGTCGCCATTACAACATCACATGCAACGCTAGTCAATTTCAGCTCTGCCGTCATGGCGGGTGGAGCGTGCTCCGTCATCTCGAATCCTTTCGATGCTATCAAAACGAGGATTCAACTGCAGCCAGCTGTTTACAGAAACATGTACCAGGCTTGCCAGAAGATGATTTCGGAAGAAGGTGTTCGGTCACTTATGGATGGTGTTGCGCTCCGCATGAGCAGAAAAGCAATGAGTTCAGCTTTGGCCTGGACTGTGTATGAAGAACTGATGAGAAGAGCTGAACGCACTTGGTCCTCAAACTTGACGACGACAACGACAGCGGAGCCATAGCGAATGCGCACTCCAACATACAATCCCAACTTGATCCACTGAAAGAAACCCAACGTCCCGCAAAGACGACTTGTACTAGTAGCCGATGGTATATATTCCCCCCGAGAAAGAACAAATAATCTGGGAAGCTCTAATAGAGCGTTGGGCATCTAAGATATCTTGTGTGGTGTGATTGTAGGATGTTGTCCCAGACACAAACACCCATCCTCGCCTTCGATGCGATAAGAAGTTTGATGTACTCGGTCCAAATGGCGACCAAAATGTCGCCTTTCCCCCCTCCTTTCCTTCCTCCCCCATTCCTCCTCAAATCATGCCGGTTTCGCTCCCGCAAGGTACATGAGGAGCGCGGGTGACTTGCTTCTCTTCCGGTCACTCTTCTTTCTGACCCATTCGAACTCTGGTTCGTGGCGGTGCGACTTCTTGTCTTCGATCTCGAGTACGAGCTTGGATGAGCGCTTCTCACGAATCGACCTGGTGTGTCTCCAAAGGGTATCTTGCTCCCATTCCGGCACCCATCGTCTGATGAGGACGTAATCAGGATCCTGAGATAAGTCAGCAGATGCAACAGAGGTCAGTCGCCTTCTGAGTATGCTTACAACATCCATTTCCCATTCAACCTGATATGTTCGCAAGGTTTCAATCGAAAGATGCTTCCGTGCCATACGCGTGTAGGTTGGGCGATTCCCAGCAATGAGCGCGTTTTCATGCTGGGCTGGTCTTTGTCGCGGTGGCTCCGGAATCTTCTCCTTCTTGAGGATGGCAGCAATAGCCTTGTCGTCAAGACCTGATTTACGTAGGTCCTCCTGGAGACGTCTTTGGTACTCCTTCTCGCGCTCCTCCTTCTCCTTCTTCTCCCTGGCTAGCTTGTCCAGCTCCTTTTGACGCTCTTCCTTGAGCCTTTGCTGAAATTCCTTTTCACGCTGTTCCTTTTCCTTCTTCTCTTGCGTAAGTCGATCTGCCTCCTTTCTCTTGTAGCGTTCTACGGCATCGGCAGCTTCCTTTTCTCGCTTCTTGGATAAGTCTGCCTTCCGCATGTCCTCTTGGTACTTTTCCAGCTCGATCTTGGTCTTGAAGCGCTGTTCTTCAGCAGCGCGAGCCTCCCGGGTTCGGATATCTTCGAGATCGCGCTTGGCACGTTGGAGCTCAGCTTCCTCCCGGAACTCCTTTTGAACCCGGCGTTCCTCTTTCTCACGAGCCTGACTGATTCTGAGTTCCGCCAGCTCTTGTCGAGCCCGTTCTGCCTCATAATCCTCCCGGGTCATGTAAGAGGATGAAGGTGAGCGGGAATGAGATGAGTGACCACGGGAGTGAGAACGGTGACGGCTGTGGTAGACCTGCATGTGGCGGTCGTCCTCATCATCGGAAGAATGTTCGTTGTAAATACGGTTGTTGATAATTACAGGAGCCGGGGCCGGAGCGGAGATGGAAGCCGGAGCGGGACCCGGTGGAGTGGAATGGCGCTCACGGGAACGCTCTCTTGACCGAGTGCGAGTGGTTATGACTGTGCGCTCAGGAGCCAAGAAGCTAGGCTGTTGACCTGCTGACGGGTAATAGTTCCTACTGGGTCTCGATCTCGCTTCAACATAGTGAACCTGTGAAGGCGACGGTGCCCGACGCCTCGAGACTCGTATGTCAAGGTCATCCGAATCGGAGTAGTAGCTGTTACTCATGGTGCCTAAAGCGCCGAACGGCTCAACAATGGTGCAAGTTAGGATGGTGTGGGCAGCAGCGGAGAGTGAGAATCAGAGGCTCAGTCGCTAGATACCTCTGTGAGCCTACGAAGTAGGAAACGAAAGGTTTTATGAGAGAAAACACAACGACGGCGAGCAACCAGAGGGAGGGACAGGTGGTTTAAGAGGGGTTGGGGGCGGAAGAGTACAACTCGATGGTCTTTTATGCTTTTTCTGGCTTAGGGTACTAGAGAAAGGTAAGAGCTGAAGGGGGGCGACGAGATGCGCGACATGAGGTAGTGGTCGCTGGTCGGTCGGCTTACATGGCTGGCATGGTAGAAAGGGGAGCCAGTGGTTGGATTGGCCATAGTGGGAGGATCGAGCCAGGTGGAGAGGATGGCCCACCAGGCCTAGGAGGGAAGCTAAGCGACCAGGTTAGGAGAGGGGGTTTGTACAGGATGACAGGGCCTAGTGTTCCAACACCGTCCGAAGAGGGAACCCAAGGTAAAGGTAAGCGTGATTTAAAAGAAGAAAAATGCTGAGGTACCTAAAGGAGGGTAAGGTAGGGTACCTACCTACCTCACGAAGTTGCTGTGAATGAGGGGCTGTGATGTGGGAGCGGTGTCGCGGGGGCAGCGACCGCTATGATAACTAGTAGGTAGTTCGAGATGGGAAGAAAACGGGCTGAGGTTGTCTACCTAGGTACACTCAACAGGCGGACGCCAACGCCACAGGATCATATGCCGGCGTCATAAATTACAACCCTTGGTCAATGGAAAGAGTATCAGGCGTACGCGCCTAGCAATTTGAGCCTGACATCTTCGAAGAGGACGCCGGACCAGAAACATTCACCTCGAGATGGTGTACTTTCCTCACTCCCATCTGTTAGTATATCGGGATCAATAGCGGGGCAGTCAGCATCAGCAAGGCACGGGGCCGACCGTTCATTCGTCGGTTCATCCGCACAACGGATGGATGACCGCCATCCCACCTGGAGGGCGAAGATGCGTTGATACGGATACCTAGTTCTGGACTTCTCGATATGTACTGGGTGCCTCCTTGACCTGACCTTCGTACATAGTTCGGCGCAGGGTGGCAGGTGGCAGGCATGGCAGGGGAGGTACGCAGATATCCTCCCATTCGAGGCCCGAAACGGCTTAGCCTGATGTCGTAGGGCTGCGCGATTGCTGACAGAGTGGGTTCGATGGCCTGTATCCGTATGTACGGAGTACTGAGCATGGACGGAGCACGTACGTAGCACGGAGAAGGACCTAGCAACCGTGCTGACCTACGCGCCTAGGTACCCAAGGTGCCTAAGGGAAGGATAAGGACCTACATGGTTTCAGTGGGCTTCTTATCTAAGGTACCTTGCCTAGGGAGCCTTACCACAGGGCGCTCGCTATAAACCCACGTCTCATATGGCAACTTGAGGTGTTTCCTGGTACGAATAGAAGCGAAATGGGTAGGTGGTGCTCTCAGAGCATCTTTTACCTTACTGTGGTACTTTGCCAGACCTTGGGTAGGGAGGCAAGGAGGGTAGGCACATGTTGTAGGCGGATGGCACTGCAAATCCCTTGTGGGGTCAAAGTCTCCAACCCCGGCCCCGACACCCCGGTCACCCCCTCACTTCTGAGTCCTCCAGCCATGAGCGGCAAGCCCTCACGTCTCCAGCAAACCGCCAACCATCCATCAACCCAACCCACCTTACCAGGCAGCCGTTTTTGGGCCCAGTCGTGGCATCTTGCGAGAACAGTCTGGCTGGCGCAGTGAAACATTTTACTCAGGCCATGAATTCCTTGCCCTGGCTAGGTGGTCAAACATGGACCAATATCGTGAAGCACCCTTTTCGCGGCTGCCTGCGTACCCAGGTAATAATAGCACCCCGAATCGGCTCGTGTACCCTCAAGTACCAACGGGCCAGGCCCAGGTCACCAGAGCTGAACCTCAGCCGCCGGGTCTTACCTTGGGTGTACACACACAAACACAGTAATGTACCACAGGAGGGCTGACCGCCGGTAATTTGGAAAGGAAGGGGAGACGACCAAGATAGTTTAGATGGGACTGCTCTTTTTAAAAGCTGTTGGCGGCAAACTCGCCCCAGTCGCGTGGTCGACCTCCTAGACCCTTCTGCAGGCCTAGAGCGATTAGAAAATAACATCATCAATGAACGGAAAACGGACAGGAAATGGCTACATCGTACTACCTTAAAGCACGCTTGAGTGTACCCAAGACCACCTGGGCGGCGGTTGTCAAAATGTCCCACCAGAGTCTTATTCTCCCACCTCACCCAGAGAAGACCCATCTGCTCTAGACGAACATACACACGAGACCGTTGACATTGGACTTTGCCGACATGAGAGAGAGAGAGAGAGGCGCGGCGCTTGAATCGTTGGCGCACGACACTCGCTCATCTTCGTCAAACTGTTGGCAGTAATAGATAAAGTTCAGGTTCATCTTCCACCTCTTGTCAGTGCATACGAGTATATCTTCCCGATCTCCAGTCACCTCACAGAGTCATCGCTCATATGAGAGTCGTTACCGCATGCTGACACGCATGAATCGAGCTCTGAATCGCAAAGAGTGCTCTTGGTCGTCCATCACAGCACCGTTGCTTGCGCCCTCATGTTCGCGACCCAGTCCCAACTGTGGTCAATTCGATGCTCGAAGAAACCCCCCCCCCCCCCGACGAGGATAGCATCAAATGGCCACTAACATGCACAAGCACTTTGCTCACGCCGCATTGCGAGCAATGGCTCGAAGAAAATACGTCTTCAAATGCTGTACTACCCGTACTCGGAGCCGCAGAAGTGCTTATCAACTCGGTGATGCTTGTCGTCCCGTCCCGATGCTTAAAGAGGATTGCATGACAAAACATTCCACCTCCGCCTTTTCTTCCGTTGTCCCCGATGCGATAAGCTCCTGACCCCATCATTTGGCCCCCCTACCCTCTGGTCTCTTACAGCATCTGTCATCATGACTGCGCCTTGAGCATCTGGTCAATGTGCTGCCGGCTGTTCTTGTACGTTGTCTCCAGGTAGTGCAGCTTCTGGCTCAGCTTCTCAACCTCGCCCTCCCTATCCTTGATTTGACCCTCCAGCTTTTGTGTAAGCTGCGGGGTGGGTAACGCGACGAACCTTTTCCGCCCCCGAGGCTCGGCGTCAGCAACGTAATCCATATACTCTGGTCCTGGCTGCAGCCGCTTCGTCATCCGACGTCCGTCAAACACGGAACTTGGCTGCAGCGTACACAATCACAAAATAAGAACATGGGTCAGCAGGGAATTTACGTACATCTTGCCGACACCTTCGTAGACGTTCAAGTTTGAGGGCAAGGTGGAAACCTCATCAAGCGTCAGACGGACCATGCGCATTTCTCGTTGCTTTGCCGTCATCTGTGTGCGTGCCTGGCCAATCTGCTGCTGGGCCACGATTGCTTGGCTTTCGATTTCTCGGATCAGCTAGGCAGATACACGTGTGAGTAGGCGGCAGCTGAAGCGCAGAGTAGAGACCAAAGGCAAGGGGTTCCATCGTTGTTGTCCTCTCACCTTTTCAAGCGCTTGGTTCGGGATAGACATGTTGGCTTGATGTAACAATGAGACGGTTCCTGGCGGGCCACGTTGTATCGATGCCCCTGGCACTGGCAAATGGCTCTTTGTAGCTCAAACGATAAAGCTGGCGCGGAGGAAATTGTGGTTTTCGCAAGTGAACTCAGTGTCGTTGGCGACGATGTTGTGGGCAGGCTGAGGCGTGAGATCGCAACTATGAGATGGGGTTTTCGTTTGGCTGAAGCTCGCGACAAGGTGGGGATAATTAGTGGATGGTGAATGCGTGTAACTTTAGTTTGTAGTGGACTGGTTTGGAAAGGCGGTATCTAGCCATACAGGCGAGTGGGTGACAAAAAAAGTGATGCACAGTACCACACCCAAGAACTACCACTTCCTCATACCCAGCAATGCCTACTTTAACCTATTTTTGAGCTTTTAATAGTTTAAAAATAAGAGAATGCTCTTCTCATCTTCTAATATAATATCCTAAGAGATCTGATTAGTATTGGTCTATTTGGGTCGTTGTACGAGTGGTCAATCTTGAGGTTCTGGTAGAAGGTAGTGTGTACCAATTTTTGGCACCAGCCTGACAGGTAAGGTATGGACCGTCACAAATTAAGCAAGACTCTACGGCACTCCTTGCCTACCTCAAGGTACCGTGGCACCGTGGGTACCTCCCAGTGGAGAAAGGCGTTTGGTAAGATATGCAACAAGGAAGAATACCTTCAGGGGATTATGCATTTACCGCTGCGTCGTGCTTACTGGCTCCGCACTTACATTACCTTAACTAAGGTACCACGTAAGGTAGGGTACCTGAGGTGAGGTAGATGAATAGAAGACGGCATTAGACTACCTTTCACTTTGCAAAAGGTCACACAAGTTCTATATTTTGTTTCTGGCTCGATCCGATTGCAATTGATGGGGTATTTCTAGTATGCCGCAGGTGCGGGCATATGTCATCCTGCCATCTGCGCCCAGCAGTGCTGGCTGCTAGATACATCCATCTGCCAATGGTTCTAAACAGGGCTCCTAGAGGTACTCGTGTCTTCCTTGGCTTGAGAATATGCGGCTGCTGTCGCCAAGCCCTCGGCTTGGGTGCCGGTGCAATCTTACCTTGAACGGTTACCGATTGTCTGTCCACCATTGATATCCTGCTTTCTTAGTCCGACTTCTCTGCTTTGACCACTAGCGGTATCGACGAAAGGGACCTTGGCCAGACGAGTTTGTACTCATCTTCGCAGCCCTCGAGACATCTGCGTAGCCATATGCCCCATGTAATGTAGTAGTAAGCTATAACTCATTAGCACATGTCGGAGGTGGGAATGCCGTATGTCCTCTGATCCATACCTCCTATACATCACATTAGCAACAGTCTTGGTAGAAATGACAGTACCGCTCCAATCAGAAAACGTACCAACACCTGTCATCAAGTGCCACCAAGCATGACCCTCTAGCA